CCTCCCCCTCCCCCTCCCCCTCCTCCTTTTCTCTTCAAAATCTCTGTATTGAGCTAATTTTTAGGGCTTTTATATTTGTTTTTTAATCGATTTTTCTCATGTCTAATCATATTACATTTTATGTTTCTGTCTTTCGTTTCAAAACCCTAGTTTATCTCTCACTCTCTTCCTCTCTTGTAGGGCCTTTGCTACATGAGTTATAAGCCGAATTGGCCGCGAATTTTTTCGCTTTATTGATTGAAGATTGCTCTGGTTCAGCGCTGCTGCTGCGAGGGATTTAAAGAAGGTGAGTTTTTATAGGGTTTCCGTTCGTTTGTTACTGTACGTGATAGTGTTTTGAAGTTGGGGAAGTTGTGATTTCGGGTTTTAATTGAGTGAAATTGACGTGGGTTGGTGTTGTTTCGTCGTTATTGAGTGAAAAGTGGTTGGTAGCGAAGGGATTTAGGGTTTTGAAGAGGAATTGAAGTTGACACTCTTTTTTTTTTGTATTTGTTGATGGTTTGTTGTTGTCGATTAGGGCTGAGAAATTGGGTTTTAGGCTTCCAATTTAATGGGTTTTGATGTGGAATTGAAGTTGATTCGGGGCGCTTTTGGGTGGTCTATCAAGGCTGAAAATTTGGCCTTTCGGGTTGTAATTTGAAGGGTTTTTTTTTTAAAAAAAATTACAGAATTGGTTATTGTCTTATCAAGGTTATAGTATGAAAGAGGCTGAATTTTGAAGGTCTCGTGACACTGCTTTGTCTCTTGCCAAGGGTTGGCATTGTTTCATCTGTGTTTGGTGACTAAGTTTTGCAGTTGCTTTATCTTTTGAACTTGCTAGTTTTACGTCATAAGAAAGAATCAAAACGCTAATTGTGACCATTGGTTTAGGGGGTGGATTGGGCATGAACTGAAATGCATTACCTTTTCTTCTATTTTCAGCTTGTCAAACTAAAAGGTTTTGAGCTAACTGTATATGCCTAGAGATTTTTCTATAGTAATTATTCTCCTAGTTACTATAATATCCATCTTGAATATCTTAATTTTTTTATTCTCAAAAAAATAAATTTGTAATCTAATTTGAAGTTGGTTGAATGTCTTTGTAAGCTTAAAGTTTGATCAAGACTTTGTTTGTTGCCCTTTGTGTTGATTACTTGTGATGTTTGGTTGTAGAGTTACTACAGTTAAAGATGGCTGATCAGAGGAATGGAACCGGGCAGCCTTCAAATGCTGCAAGAAATGCATATGCTATTGATGTGGAGAAGTTTAAAACACGGCTCAAGGCGCTTTATTCAAATTGGAATGAGAACAAGGCTGATTTATGGGGGTCTTCTGATGTTGTTGCTATAGCAACACCTCCACCTTCCGAGGACTTACGGTATCTGAAATCGTCAGCTTTGAATATTTGGTTGCTTGGGTATGAGTTTCCAGAGACGGTAATGGTTTTTATGAAGAAGCAGATTCACTTCTTGTGTAGCCAGAAGAAGGCTTCTTTGCTTGAAGTTGTGAAAAAACCTGCTAGGGAAGTAGTGGGTGTTGATGTTGTGATGCATGTGAAGGCAAAGACTGATAATGGGACTGGTCTGATGGACGCTATATTCCATGCTATTTATGCTCAGTCAAGTGCTGATGGGAAAGACACACCTGTTGTTGGACACATAGCGAGAGAGGCTCCTGAAGGAATTATTTTAGAAACTTGGGCTGAGAAATTGAAGGGCGAGGGCTTTGAGCTTGCTGATGTAACTAGCGGGTTGTCTGATTTGTTTGCTGTTAAGGATGCTGATGAGCTCATTAATGTGAAGAAGGCTGCTTTTTTGACTTTTAGTGTAATGAACAATGTTGTGGTGCCAAAGCTTGAGAATGCTATTGACGAGGAGAAAACAATAACCCATTCTGCTTTGATGGACGAGGCAGAGAAGGCCATCTTGGATCCCACAAGAGCTAAGGCAAAGTTGAAGGCAGATAATGTTGATATATGCTACCCTCCAATATTTCAGAGTGGAGGAGAGTTTGATCTCAGGCCTAGTGCTGCAAGCAATGATGAGCCCCTGTACTATGATTCTGCTAGTGTAATCATTATTGCTGTTGGGTCTCGATACAACAGTTACTGCTCAAATGTTGCCCGGACTCTAATGATAGATGCCACTCCCTTGCAGAGCAAGGCTTATGCAGTTCTTCTCAAGGCACATGAAGCTGCTATTGGTGCTTTGAAGCCTGGGAACAAAGTAAGCGCTGCTTATCAAGCTGCCCTGTCAGTGGTCGAGGAGGAAGCTCCTGAATTGGTTCCAAATCTGAGCAAATCTGCTGGGACAGGCATAGGTCTTGAGTTTCGTGAGTCGGGGCTGAATCTTAATGCCAAGAATGATCGAGTTGTGAAAGCAAAAATGGTTTTCAATGTGTCTCTTGGTTTTCAGAATTTGCAAAATCAGATTGATAATCCCAAGATTCGGAATTTTTCATTGTTGCTTGCAGATACAGTTATTGTAGGTAATCTCATGATGCTCTGCTGCTTTTTCTTCATTTACACCCTATTGTTTTTCCCTATTGCATATCAATTTTTATGACAATCAAGTAATTTTGTTATCTTTTATTCCTTAAAATGCTCTTTTCCCCTAATGTTATATTCTAAACTGCTATTATTACATTGAATTCTGATTTTTTTTAATTCTCATTCTTCTCCATGACCTGGAAAATGCAGGTGATCAAAATCCAGATGTGGTGACTTCGAAGAGCTCCAAAGCTGTTAAGGATGTGGCTTACTCTTTTAATGAAGGCGAGGAGGAAGAACAAAAACCTAAAGCTGGAGCTGAGGTGAATGGCGGGGAGAACTTGATGTCTAAGACAACATTGAGGTCTGATAACGGGGAGATCTCAAAGGAGGAGCTTCGGAGGCAGCATCAAGCAGAACTTGCCCGCCAAAAGAATGAAGAAACTGCTCGGCGACTTGCTGGTGGAGGAAGTGCTAAAGGAGACAATCGTGCTGCTTCAAAGACTTCAACTGATTTGGTTGCCTACAAGAATGTGAATGACATTCCTCCTGCTAGAGACCTAATGATTCAGATAGACCAGAAGAATGAGGCTGTGCTTTTGCCTATTTATGGGAATATGGTGCCTTTCCATGTTTCCACAATCAGGACAGTTTCCAGCCAGCAGGATACCAACAGGACCTGTTACATTCGAATCATTTTTAATGTTCCTGGAGCAGCTTTTAATCCGCATGACTCAAATTCATTGAAGCACCAAGGGGCTATTTATTTGAAGGAGGTGTCCTTTCGTTCAAAGGATCCTAGGCACATAAGTGAAGTGGTACAGCTGATCAAGACACTTAGACGGCATGTTGTGGCCAGGGAGTCAGAGAGGGCTGAGAGGGCGACCTTGGTTACCCAGGAGAAACTACAACTTGCAGGGAATAGATTCAAGCCAATAAGGTTGACTGACCTATGGATCCGTCCTGTTTTTACTGGCCGTGGAAGAAAGTTGCCTGGTGCTCTTGAAGCTCATGTTAATGGATTCCGATTTTCTACAAGCAGATCTGAGGAGCGTGTGGATATTATGTTTTCAAACATCAAACATGCATTTTTCCAGCCTGCAGAGAAGGAAATGATCACTCTCCTGCACTTCCATCTTCACAACCACATTATGGTGGGAAACAAGAAGACAAAGGATGTGCAGTTTTATGTTGAGGTGATGGATGTGGTCCAGACTTTGGGAGGTGGAAAGAGGTCTGCCTATGACCCAGATGAGATTGAAGAAGAGCAGCGGGAAAGGGATAGGAAGAATAAGATCAATATGGATTTTCAAAGCTTTGTGAATCGGGTGAATGACCTTTGGAGCCAACCCCAATTTAGTGGACTGGACCTTGAGTTTGATCAGCCTTTGAGAGAGCTTGGCTTCCATGGAGTGCCCCACAAAGTCACATCATTCATCGTCCCAACTTCAAGCTGCCTGGTTGAGCTAGTTGAGACTCCTTTCCTTGTTGTCACCCTGGGTGAGATTGAGATTGTCAATTTGGAGAGAGTTGGCCTTGGGCAGAAAAACTTTGATATGACCATTGTCTTCAAGGACTTCAAGCGTGATGTTCTCAGGATTGACTCCATCCCATCAACTTCACTTGATGGCATCAAAGAATGGCTTGACACAACAGATATCAAGTATTATGAGAGCAGATTGAATCTGAACTGGCGACAGATACTAAAGACAATCACTGATGACCCACAGAGCTTCATTGATGATGGCGGGTGGGAATTTCTGAATTTGGAAGCTAGCGATTCAGATTCTGACAACTCAGAGGATTCAGACCAGGGTTACATACCATCAGATGCAGAACCTGAGTCCGAGTCTGAGGATGATGTCTCTGACAGTGAATCACTTGTGGAGTCTGAGGATGATGAGGAGGAGGAGGATGAGGAAGACTCTGAGGAAGAAAAGGGTAAGACATGGGAGGAGCTGGAGAGGGAAGCAAGCAATGCAGACAGGGAAAAGGGTGATGATTCAGACAGCGAGGAGGAGAGGAATAGAAGGAAAGTGAAGACTTTTGGGAAGTCTCGACCCGCTCCGAGACCAGCCCCAAGACCCACTTCGAGACCCACCCCCAGACCCCCTCCCAGGACCATCCCTGGTAGCATGCCCAAGAGACCCAAGTTTCGGTAGATTTGATAGGAAATCTCTGTTCTTTTGTTATTCATGTTTATCTGTTTAGCAGGTAGCAACAGCTGCTGCCTTAGAATGCAGGCCTTTTACTTGGGGTTAGAACCATTGGTAGCAGTAGTTTTTACGATTTTGTTACCTATCTATTGCCCTTTGGTCATTAAGTAGTTTCTGTTGGGAATAAGATCAATTCCTAACAAAGTTAATCTTTGCATCTGATATCAGTATCTTTCTGCTATCATCTTCATTTGCATGATGTTCCAGCGTGCACTGTAATGCAATCCTCCACAGCAGGCCATAATCCAGTAGTTGTTTTTAGCTTAAAAAATGCTGCGCAATGGATTGCATGAACAATTTCCTAGACTTGCGTGGCAGAACGAGCTCCTTGGATGGTATCTGGTTCAGAAGATGTGTGCCTAGAGAGTCTTTATGTTTGCATTAATCTCCATCCTTGTTTGGCAAGGAGTGCCTGGTTAAGATGTTACGATGTCCCAAAACCCAAACCACCTCTTATCCTTGATGCATGCATGGACCTCATCAGAATGGTTTAAACAGGAGAGAGAGTAAAGAACTAATAGGGTACTGGTAAGATACAAATTTTATGTAAAAATCATTTAATTATCCAAGCTGAGTGACACATAATAATGGAAATAGTATACAATAAAAGAAAGCAACGCTTCATCCATCATAAAATCAAAGAGATAACTAGGGAAAAAAGCCTTGAACAAATGCAGCCATACCCATCCCTGAAAACAGGAGCACGTTGCTGATTTCATGTTTAGCATAGCAAAACAGACAACTATCATGATGGATGCACGGATTGAAAGACGCAGCAAATCTGTAAGTAAAATAAGATCAGCTCTTTCGAAACAGAACAGCTCCATGACATGCTAAGAACCAGAGAAAGCAGAATATGGGAACCAAAGACCTGCTGCGAAACATAATGATGTGGGCGAGTTCAAACAATACCATAGTTCTGAATAATCAGGTGTGGATCCTTCATGAACGAATTATATAGAAAGCTTAGCAAATTCATTTATGACTCAATGAGACCTCTTCACATCAGAGGAACATCTTGACAAGAAAATACCATTACTTTTTATTTTATGATTGAATCAGGTTTAATTTTTTCCAAATAATTTTTACAAGTCTATTTTTATAAAAAGGTGAAGACCTCAAAGTTTGAAAGATGTTAATTGAGCAATTTTTTTTTAATTTTCAGTTTAATTTCAGATTTTATGTTGTGTTTCTTTTTAATATATGATTTTGATTTTGAAAGGTGAGAGAATATACAAGAGATAATTATATAGTAATAAAGTATGAATTTGAGTTCTTGTGCGAGAACCCATTTCGAGAACAATGCTTTCTCTTGTTCACTGTCTTCGTATTTGGTGTGTCCGTTTGCGTGACGAGGAAACCTCTATCTCTGTTAAAAAAGGAGTGGGGCTTTAAACACAACACGCTCAGCACCATCAACGGTACAGGAGTCAGTAGCCACCATTTTGGCCACATGTGGTTGATCTTGCCTCCGATGCCATCAGTAACATTTGAGGAAACCAAAATGTGGAATTTAAATCTGAAGATCCAAACGCAACTCATCATATTCTAATCGCTGGAAAGGAAATGATCCAAGGAGTACATTCACAAGCAGGCGATTCAAGGTAAAAATGGAAAGAAGCAGAAAAAATATACGTAAAGCTCTGAATTTGGATTCCACTATTTTACAAGTAAACGAATTGTTATGGCTGTGAGTTTCAAAACTAGTTTACAAGTAAAGAGTCTATAATCCAACCAGTTTGTCCAACGAGCATATAAAATAACAATACAAAAGAAACAGGAAGGAGAGAACTCCAAAACACATGCTTCCTTGCAAGAGACATTATTCTGGCTAGATTACGTAATCACCACCTCCAGAGCTGCAGCTGCTGGTTTAACAAGGCATAGAGGCATAGACACCTTTGGTCACCTTAGCTTGGGTCTCTTGTGAAGATTGCTGCTCACATTTCTTCTATCAGGTTGTCGGGTTACTGGCCGAGCTGGCAGCCTAGCTGACGGTCGAGCAGGAGCTTGAGCTGGTGGCCTAGCTGACGGTCGAGGGGGAGCTCGAGCTGGCTCTCGAGCCTTGCCAAATGCCTTGATCTTCCTTCTTTTTCTCTCCTCCTCACTATCTGAATCATTCCCCTTTTCCCTGTCAGCATAACTTGCTTCCCTCTCCAACTCTTCCCATGTCTTTCCTTCCTCCTCCTCTGAGTCTTCCTCAGAGTCCTCTTCCTCGTCATCCTCGGATTCCACCAAAGACTCACTTAAATCAGCTTCATCATCGGAACCTGAGTCAGATTGCACATCTGAAGGCATGTACCCTTGGTCTGAGTCTGCTGAGTTTTCAGAATCTGAATCACTAACTTCCATGTTTAAAAATTCCCACCCACCATCCTCTATGAATTTTTCCGGATCATCAGTGATAGTTTTCAGGATAGGTCGCCAATTGAGATTTAATCTACTCTCGTAATACTTGAGGTCGGTGGTGTTAAGCCACTCCTTTATGCCATCCAGTGATGTAGAGGGGATAGAGTCTATTCGAAGGACATCCCGTTTGAAGTCCTTGAAGACAACAGTCATATCAAAATTCTTCTGACCAAGGCCAACTCTCTCCAGATTAACTATCTCAATCTCACTCAGAGTTATCACCACACAAGGTGTCTCTATCAGCTCAACCAAGCAACTCGATGTTGGAACTATGAAAGCTGAAACTTTGTGGGGAACCCCATGGAACCCAAGCTCTCTTAAAGGCTGATCAAACTCAAGGTCAAGTGCTTTGAATTGAGGTTGGCTCCATACATCATTCACCCGGTTCACAAAGTTCTGGAAGTCCATGTTTATTTTATTCTTTCGATCCCTCTCGCGTTGTTCTTCCTCAATCTCATCAGGGTCATAGGCTGATCTTTTACTCCCTCCAATTGTCTGGACCACATCAATTACCTCGATATAAAATTGCACATCCTTGGTCTTTTTGTTCCCCACCATTATGTGATTATGCAAATGAAAGTGCAGGAGAGTAATCATTTCCTTCTCTGCTGGCTGAAAGAACGCATGCTTAATGTTACCAAACATTACATCAACACGTTCATCAGGCCTTGAAGTTGAATAGCGCAAGCCATTTGTGTGGGCTTCAAGTGAACCAGTCAATTTTCTTCCACGACCACCAAAAGGAGGACGGACCCATAGATCAAACAATTTCAGTGGCTTGAATTTGGAAGATGAGAGTTGAAGCTTTTCCTGACTAACTAAGGTCGCTCTCTCAGCCCTCTCAGATTCTCTGGAAGTTACCTGTCGACGTAGGGTTTTAATCTGCTGTACCACTTCACTTATATGTCTAGAGTCCTTTGAACGAAATGAAACCTCCTTCAAGTATATTGACCCTTGAAACTTAAGGGAGTTTGCATCATGAGGATTAAAAGGGGTGCCAGGCACATTAAATATTATCCGTATGTAGCAAGTTCGGTTACCATCCTGCTGACTAGACACACTCTTCACAGTGGCAACATGGAAAGGAACCATGCTTCCATGGATTGGTAATATTATGGCTTCATTCCTCTGGTCAATCTGAATCATAAAGTCTCGAGGAGGGGGGAGATCATTGACATTCTTATATGCAATTAAATCACCAATTGTCTTTGCACCACCTCGATTATCTGTTGCAGCAGAACCCCCACCAGCAAGCCTCCTTGCAGTCTCTTCATTCTTTTGGCGGGCAAGCTCTGCCTGGTGCTGCCTTCGTAGCTCCTTCTTTGACATTTCATGGTTGTCTGACCTGAGTGTTGCCTTAGACAAGGCGGTCTCACTCCCTCTACGTTCAGGCTTGACTTTTGGCCTATCTTCTTCCTGATCATCCTCATTGAATGAGTATGCCACATCTTTAACAGCTTTAGTACACTTTGAAGTCACCACATCTGCCAACTTCTCACCAACAATCACTGTATCGGCAAGTAAGACAGAATATTTCTGGGTCCTTGGGTTTTTGGTCTCTGCCTGCAAATGCTGAAAGCCAAGAGACACATTGAAAACCATTCCTTGTCTCAGAACTTGATCATTCTTGGAATTAAGACTAAGCCCTGACTCACGAAACTCAAGGCCAATTCCAGTTCCAGCAGTTTTTGTTAAGTTTGTGGTTAATTCGGGCGCATCCTTCTCAACCACAGAGAGTGCTGCTTGATACACAGCACTGACCATGTTCCCAGGCTTCAATGCACTGATAGCAGCTTCATGGGCCTGAAGGAGGACCTCATATGCCTTGCTCTGCATCGGATTGGCATCAATCAGATAAGTTCTTGCAACATTTGAGCAGTAGCTGTTGTATCGAGACCCGATTGCACATATGATCACACTAGTTGAGTCATAGTAGAGGTTCTCATCATTGCTTGCAGCACTCGGTTTCAGATCAAACTCTCCTCCACTCTGAAAAACTGGAGGATAGCAAATATCGACATTCTCTGCCTTCAGCTTTACCTTAATTCTTGCCGGTTCCAATATTGCCTTCTCTGTGTCACCCATCAATGAAGAATGGGAGATCTTCTTCTCTTCATCAATGACCTTTTCAAGCTTTGGCACCACAAACTGCTTCATTACTGAAGAACTCAAAAACGCTGCTTTCCTTACATTTGTGAGCTCAGTGCTGTCCTTGACAGCAAATAAGTCTGAGAACCCACTTGTTACGTCTCTTAGTTCACAATTAATGTTCTTTACCTTTTCATCCCATGTCTCCAAAAGCTTCCCTTCAGGACTTTCTCTTGCTATACGTCCAATGACAGGAGTATTATGCCCATTAGAATTTGACTGAGCTAGGACAGCATGAAAAATGATATCCATCAAACCACTTCCATCATCATTTTTGGTCTTCACGAGTATCACAACCTCAACACCCACAGCCTCTTTGGCAGGCTTCTTCACAACATCAAGCAAAGAAGCCTTTTTCTGGCTACATAAGAAAAGGATCTGCTTCTTCAGGAAGACCATAATCGTCTCTGGGAACTCATATCCAACCAACCAAATGTTCAGTGCTGATGACTTCAGATACCGGAGGTCCTCAGAAGCCGGAGGCGTTGCTATAGCAAGTGCATCAGAAGCACCCCATAGGTCATTATGGTGTTCCTTCCAATGTGAATACAACATGTTCAAGCGCTTGGTGAAGTTATCCAAATCTATTGCATAAGGATTGGCAGCTCCTGTAGGCTTCCCGCTTGAGGGTTTTGCATTAGCATTCCTCTTTTCAGCCATTGCATGTAGTTCAAAAACAGATCTTGATTTCTCAACAACTGAGCAAGTTCCGCTAGATGATCAGCAAAAACACTGAAAAATAAAAAATAATCATCAGTTCATTTCCTTCTCTCCATATGGAAAAAGGTTGACCTGGATACACTTTGATTAGCCATGATCAACAATATGCAAAATCAGAAACCAGCAAAATATTTCAGAGAAACTAGAACAATCAGAACTTCCAACGTTGCAAGAAATTAAATTCTGTTCTGAATCTTGATACTCTAAGATTAATGAGCTATCAGATCTTAATTCATAAACTACAGTTGATGAATCTTCTATGCACATCTCCATCTTTTCAATTTGAGAAAGATCTGATTTTGGGATTTAAGTTCACTGTTTAAGCCTATCCATTCCCAGATAAGGAAACATTCTAAATTTAAAAATTTTACAGTTCTTTTCTACTTTCATTCATTTTGTCAGAACCCAAACAAAGAATTAGATTAGAGCTTACATATCTCAGTCTTCCCTGTAGCAGGAGCAGAACATTCCTGCGCTCAGAAATCAAAAAAATAAAAAAAAAATCGTCAATAACTTCACATTCAGAAACATCCATTGGCCCTACTAGTAATCAAAGAAAGATTGCTCTATCACCCCCATCTATCTGAAAATTCTCAAATGGACCTCAATTCAGTAATAAGCAATCACGCATCCAATAAAAAGGTAACAAATCTCAACTTCTGCAATCAAAAGTTTTGATCTTCAGAACCAGCTACACAGCCCCCCACAAAAAAAAGGTCAGAATTCGGAGCTAAATATGGTGCTTGAATTCATTGAATTATGAAATAACAAACAAACAAAATCCAGATAGAAAAAAGATGGAAAATAAAGATTTACCTCTTGCAGGCACCTATGGAATGTTTATCTTATGATTCACAAGAGAAAACTCGGGGTCAAAGGGGTGAACTTTATTAGAAAGAAATGGACGACAACGACAAATGGATTGCTTCTACATGGGGGATTCGGAGGTATAGACAGAGTGATTAATGTATGACAGCTACAATGAGGAATGATTAAGATGGGAAGCTGAAGAGAGAGGGGGAGCTAAAGAGGCCAAAAGGGTCATCAAATCAATCAAGTTGTGGAAAATATGTAATTATATGCAAGGTTCTTCTATGAATATTTCTCATGTGCGTGTCTATAGAAAAATATTCACTCTCACATATTCATTTGCTTACAGAAAATTTACTTTTTGTTTAATGCATTTTCCCCTATTCAGAGGTCAAAAAATGGCTGTCAGGCACTTTCTAGCCAATCAGCATCTCAATTATGATGTGTATAAATCAATTTAAGGTTAGATTAAGATTGAAATTCACCCCCAATAAGTAAAAATCCGGTGTGTGTGTATATATATATATATCTGCACGTATATGCATATGTTAGGGGTGGCAATGTACATTTTCAGGATAACAAGGTTTACGGCAATCCATTCGAAGTTTTTCTTAACAATCTTTGTTACACAGGAGTCAGGACCGGAGTCCTTGTCCACAGTTTGCATCCAAGTTCAAGGAACTCAGTCCACGAGCAGATTACCACAAACATGGGCTAGCTACTTGTCTGTCGAAACAGATGAGAACTGTCAAGCCTCTTCATCAACACTAAGAGCCTATTTTCATTTAAAAAAATAAAACTTCGAAACAACTTTTTTTTATTTGACATGAAAAATAAATTTTAAAAAATAAAATAACAAATATTATTTTAATATATTTCTATTGAACTTTCCAACTTTCAAATGAAAAACACGAAAAAATAACAAAAAAGACTATAAATCACATTTGATCTTTAGCTGTTAGTAACATTACAAGGTACACAGAGTAATCAGACCGCCAATGGAGGCTAGGGCAAACATCAAGTACCATTGTCTCTAAATCTGCGTTTACATAAGATAAATGGGATACAACAACGATGCACAGGGAACCAAGCAGCATAGATACGAGAGAACAATCATAGCTTTCCAGATTGGGACAACACTTGCTGAGTTTGTGACATTAAAATCACAAACCAAGAAAGGCACATTGTTTTCTTGCATGCTCGGGTACCAATTTGACCAGCGTCTCAACTGACACCCCCTTCAATTCTAGTTGAATATCAGCAGCAGCAGAAACAACAAAAGTAAGTACACGAGATTAATGAATTATGAACTCAGACTTGTGAAAAAACAATTTCTCTATAAAAATTTCATACCATGAGATAAAGTAAGTACACGACATTAATGAATTATGAACTCAGATTTGTGACAAAACAATTTCTCTATAATAATTTCATACCATGAGATTTGAAGTTAAATAATGGTGGAAGGAAACGCCCGTTTGGCAAGCGGGTGTTTTGGTCACGGAGCTCGTCAAAAAAGGGATGCATCAAGGCATCCAGCTGAAACCAGAGCAAGCACATAGCAGTAAGATAGCTTCGAATCAAACAAAAAATTAAACAAGCCCAGAGGAAGTGATTACAATGAGCACCTAACAAGCTCCGTTCTATATAATCAACACCAGGTAAAAATATCTAACAAGCTTCAGTGATCAAAATCAAGCAGTAAAAAAGTTACAATTGCGCAGACGGACACTAGTCCAAGTTCCAGTGACAGTTTTACATCAGGCTTTCAAAGTAAAATATTAAAAAGCAATGCTAAGGAAAGAAACATAGAAATTTAAAGAAGGTTATGATACATTCACAAAATTATATGGTCAAATGGAGCAGAGTATTATTCCAGAAAAACACTCACAGCTGTGCACCGTAAGTTAGGGGAGTATTGCAGTAATCTTGAAACCAGATCAACTGCTTCTGGAGGCATGCGCTTGTGGAATATCTAAGCATGAAACAAACAGAAGTTAATGGATGATAAGAAGGTAATAGCATGAACCACGAAATACAAATCTAGAATTTCTAATACCTTGTGCCAAGGATGAGCCTTAATCTGCGGGAATTTGTACTCCGTATAATTTGGGTTCATGCACTTAATTTCCTCCCTTGTTGGAGTGCCCAAAACCTGGAAAATAGAGCATTTTATGAATTAAAGTAAATCAAGGATAATGTCAGAAACGTATATTTTACCAAAGAGTAGACAACTTTCTTTGATGTGAAAAAAAAAACTCACACTTTATGTGTAGACAGAGCAATTAGAACATACAAGATACTAAACTTACCTTGATAATCTCAACAAGCTGGTCGACTCCACTCTCACCAGGAAATAGAGGCTGACATAATCGATACATTTATTAAAGCTTGTTGTGGAGATCATAATGTGAAATAAAAAAAAAAAAAACCTTGTCCACAAAAGCTTCCTACCTGTCCAAGCAATAGCTCAGCAAGGACACAGCCAGCAGACCAGATGTCAATAGCTGTGGTGTATTCAGTTGCTCCAAATATAAGTTCAGGTGCTCTGTAATACCTAGAACAGATATAAGATATATTTGGCTCCCCTTTAACCTGTCAGAAGAAACAGTATCCCAGTAAAAAAATAAAAGCAAATGTGAAGACCAAACAGTGAAAAATAACAAGTAGCAAAGCATACCAAGACTTTAGCACTGCCAAAATCACATAATTTAACCTGATGTGTATGAGGATTCACCTGCATCAAGAAAAAAATTTGAAACTAACTTTAAAAAAATGTTTGGTGACATCAAATAAATGAGTGTATAAACAAAACAAAAGATTGTGTCCTCCAATCAAGGAGGACGACCACTTTACTTGCATAAGACAGGTTACAACCAAATATTTATATTTTTTTAATCAACTTTTGTTGAAGATGTATAGAGCTACTTAAGGTTCCACAACAATGAAAGTATCACATATACATTCTAGGTTTTCATTCCCCAAAACGAAAAAAATGATAAATTGGTGATGGTGGACTAGAGGAATACAACTAAACATATACATGTATAAGCCATAAAATGAGCACAAAATCTTACCAAAAGGTTTTGAGGTTTAATGTCACGATGACACACCCCAATAGCACGATGGATGTATGACAATGCCCTAAATATCTGCCAAGAATCAGCATGTTAACATCTTGCCAATGTTCCTAATAAACAATACCTCCAAGATGATAGTGTTTCAAGTATTGAGGCAAAAAATTTAGGTGCCTTGGGAGAAAGAAATAACAAAGTAATGGATAAAAAAAGTAAAAAGAAGAAAATGGGTCCACAAGAACAAGGACATCTAAATTTTAGACATCTTAAGCATAGACCACCGTAAAAACCCAATTCAATTGAATAGCTCCATACCTGATATGTATAGAGCTTGACATATATTAGTGGCATCTTCTGATTCAACTTGCGGTAATGTTTAATCACACGATGAACAGTTTCAGGGACGTACTCAAGAACCAGATTAAGATAAAGCTCATCTTTCTCAGTTGTTGAAAAGAAGCAATGCTTCAAGGAGACAACATTCGGGTGGTCAAGGAGACGCATGGTTTGCAGCTCACGGTTCTTGTACCTCTTATCTTGAAGAACTTTCTTTATAGCAACAGTTTCACTGGTCTCTAAGCATTTTGCCTAAAACCAAGAATGCAGAAAGGCAAAATGGAAACATGAGTACTTGGTGACAATCTAGAAAGAATGTAGCAATACACTATCGGGAAATATTCAGCAAAACACTATAGTCTAAGACAGCATACCTGGAAAACAACTCCAAATGAACCATTCCCAACAACACGCTCAGCCATGTAACTTATTGTCTGCATAGTTTAAATAGAAGAAAGACACATTGACTATGATAAAAAGAAATATAATACAACACAAGAGAATGGGACATCCCCTAATAAACAAACTAAATTGCTGATTCATCATCCTTAATTAGAAACGGATAATAATGTATAGGATGGAATATGTGATATGAACCTCTCCCAATCAGGAAGCAAATTGGGCCAGTCATTTTAAACTCCATCACGCTACATCCTGAAAATTACCCTCAAAGTGCAAGGGGCTATTGACTTGCTAGAAGATATTAATGGAGAAGGCAGACTATTATACCTGCTTTGGCTGGCCATTTCGACCACCAATTGTTGTTACTATAATATGACCTGTCTCTGTACCATTACCATCCACTACTGTTGCCTCCATGTCCTAAAAATACATGCCTGAGTTGAGAGACCATATCCAAAATCCACCAAGGACAACACAAAAAAAAAAGTGGCAAAACCAATGATAAGTAGGAAAGATGTACTAGTCACCATACTTTTTCATCCCTAATTTTCATGTCATTCATTTCCTCAGGTAACTTATCCACGCCAGCATCATGGACACCAGCTTCTCTCAAACCCGAGGTAGGTGCCACCCCCGCAGAAGCCATTTGTTAGACAAGAATAAATTATTCTTACTCTCGAACTTCAGTGGAATTAAACATTACCTGCAGCAATCGAAAAATGTTAGAACTCTCAACTAATTGATTGAAATTGCATCAAAACACATGATATCCACCCATTCATCTTCCACAATGTAACAGAACTAAACCAAAACCCACGAAATAAAACTCAAGGTCAATTAGATACAAAAGGCTAGTACTTCAACAATAAATTCACACTCTAAAGTTTATCCCCTTCACTGCAAAAAAATTAATGACTGATGTATACGCATAACAGAACAGATCAAGCAGGTTCTACACGTAAATTCCTGCCTCAGGTTCAAAATCAAGAACCTCAAACACCAACACAGCAGAATACAAAGAATCAGGAGATAAATTAACACATCAAAAGAAAACATCACTTGAAGAAATGACAAGCAAATGAAACCGAAACATCACTTGAAGAAATGACAAGCAAATGAAACCGGTAAAAGTATTTTGATCTCCACGAAATATACATAAAAAAATTACTTTAAAGCAAACAAAGTCCACTAAGATCTAACAATAAAAACAAACAAATCATCCCAAAAAAATTCCCAAGACAATAATTAAACAAAAAAAATAATCAAAGCCCGTGAACATAATCCACAAAGAAAATCTAAAATTACCCCTCCAAAAAAATATGACAAACCAAACCGGATACAAAAATCAAAGCTTCAATAGATCCAACACAACCCAGAAGCCAATACACACAAATTATCTCAAAATCCCCAAAAAGTTTCAATCTTTGCATGCTTGAATAAAAAAAATAGATGCAAACTTTTGAAAAAAGAAAAGAAAAAAGAAGCAACACAGGAAACAAAAAACATACCAATAAAGCCGTTTTAGGAAATAAGAGGAGGAAGAAGAGGGTCAGACAATGGAAAGAGAAAGCGGGGAGAATAGATCCATTTTTGTGGGTAATAACATAAGCAGATGCCTTCCGATACAATACACTTTAGAAAGTGCTTTCTTTCTTTCTTTTTATATATCGTGGTTGTAATTTTATTTTTTTAAATTATTTTTATAATAATCTAAAGACATTAAAAAATTAATTTAAAATAAAAAATAAAAAATTTAAATTTAAATTTATTTAAAAATACTTTTAAAATATAAAAATAAATATAAAGTAAAGTGTTTTATCTTTTTTTTTTTAGAATTTGTTATTTTTCGTGACTTTTTTTTTCTTATGGTAAATGCATTTCCCCAAATCTTATTAAATTCACTTTGATTTTTTTAAAATAAAATTAGAATTAATTTGATCAATTTACTAAATAATATCTAAATTCTAATTAAAAACTAAATTAATTTTTTAAAAAAGTTTCAAAACAAACTTTTAAATTTCTTTTTTATTAATTGAATCCTTGCACTCAGTGGATCCAATTCCATTATAATTTCGAACAGTCCTCTCCAGCACCAACAACAACAACAAAAAATTACGAGTTGAAAAGATAAAGCCTTTAACATCTAACAAAAACATATTAAATAATACATGGCATCTTTATGACTTTTATTTTATTTATTTATTATTTTTGGTTTGCATGAAACTTGCGTTTTATTTATTTATTTGGGTTGGTTTATTGGACGGTGGAAATAATTGGAATTTTGAAAATAAAAAAAAAAAAAAGATTTGGACAGACTCGAGCACCATACAAGGGCAAGCAAAGTACAACAGTTCTCACATTCAAAGGTAGAAATCATAAAGGAAAATACCATTATACCCTTGAAAGAAAGAGAGGCTGAAGAGCTCTGCGTAAAGTCAATGGGTGCTGGGAGGGTTAGGCAAGGATGCTTTGATGTGCGGTGGGACCCAATGAGAGGCATGTTCGGACAATAATGTATAGCTTGTAGGGGCCTACCCTAGTTCAAAATCTAGACTTTCCCATCTTTCAAACTCTTAGGCCGAAATTCTTAACGAGGGTGGGGTCCATATGTCTTTTTAAAAAACACTTCTTAATTATAAATATATTAAAATAATTCCTTTGTATTTCCTCAAAATCTTTTATGTTAGAACACTAAAATCATAAAATAAACATGTAAGAATATTATTTTAAAATGTAAAAACAAGTACAATATTAAATATGCACTGGACAGACATGGAGTGTTTTTCTATGTTAGTTTAAATGTATTAAAATTAATGTCTATTTTTTCAACCTAGCCATGTCTGTTAATTTATGCCGTGAATTCATTTCAAAATATTTTTAGCAGCTAAATAACAAAATACATTTATTATATATATATATATATATATATTGTGCAGAACATAAATATAGCCTTCTAGGTTTTTTGGGTTTTGAAATAAAAATATTATTTTTGTAAATTTCAAAAAAATATTTTCTTTCTTAGTGGTTTAAGGGATATTTTTATCTACCAAGTGAGAGAATCCTCCCAATCTATACGAATAAATGATAAAATATCCCTAAAAAATATAAGTGAAATAAAAAATTTCCATCTAAATTGAAACCTTGATTTATTTATTTTTTAAAAAAAGATGATCCGAGAATTAAAAAAAAAAAGATCATAAAAAAGAAAAGGGCTATAAAGCCCAAGAGTAGACCGAACTAGCCCATCTTCTTCCCGCAAACAAATGAGCAGTGAAAGTAGTGGTGAACCAGGCAGCACAGCAAAAGCAAAGGCTGCTACCTCTCTTTCTCTAAATCTGTATAGGCAAAAAGAAAGAAAGAATGCCCGTAGGGAAATACTACTGCGACTACTGCGACAAGCAATTCCAAGACACCCCACATGCTCGAAAGCGCCATCTTCAAAGCTCCTCTCATTTACGCGCCAAATCTCTCTGGTCCAGCAGCAACAGCAACACCCTCAATTCCAATAACACTGATGCTGGTGGCTTTGTTAAGGGACTCTGCAACCGCTTTGTCAAAACGGTATTATTATATTTTATATTCTCTTCAAATTTATGAGTTCAATTCTTTGCATTTGCTATGATCAATCTTGGGTTGGTTGGATACTTTGATGTGTTCTCTTGTTTTCATTTAAAATGGTGGTGCTTCTTTGTGGTTTTGAAGGGTTTTTGTCCTTATGGAGATTCTTGCAAGTATTTGCATACTAATTTTGCTACTAGTCAAGGTAAAATTTTTGCTTTTATGGAGTATTATATAGCTGGGAATTAAGTGATTAATCTGTCATGGAAAAAGATGGGATCTTTTTAGTGTCTAAGGATGTGTTTGTTTTGACATTTAGGAACTGCTTTCAAGGATAATGTTCAGTCACCAACTATGCCTGGAAATCAATTGGCTGGGGGCAATTCTTTTGCAGGTACGTTTGGAACTAAGCTTTGGAGGATTGTTAATTCATGATCTTTTGCTGTTGAATCTACTTGGTTATTTTATTCAAGGTTTTATCCTCTTGTGTTGTATGGAACCATTTTTATTGAATCTTGTGTTGTATGGAACCATATTCAAAGATTGAATCTTGTGTTGTATGGAACTATATTCAAAGATTGAGTTTTTAGAATATATATGTTAGTGATGATGATGCGGGTGTGAATCGCATGGTAAAACTGTCGCTGTTTTCCTATAATGGACAATTATACTGGTATATCTAAGCCTTATAAATTCCTTCTTTTCGTTACTGATTTTGCAGCTTAATTTTGGCAATGTCCTGATTTGCAGGTGTTGCGGTGAGAGAGAGCATGGGAATGTCCTGGGGTAACCTGCCTCCATCACTAAAGCCTCCTCCAGATGGTGGTTATCCGCCCTTTCCGTTCCTGGATTGGGGATAGGTCTTTTTTCTGATTTGGGCACTGCTTTTTTTTTTTTTCTTTTTTTTTTTGTGGTTATGATAAAGTAAATTTTTACCTATCAACTACTTGATGTATCATCATCGTTTGCATAGTTCCTTGATTGAATCAAGGTATGCTTTGCTGTGTAAAAATGTTAATTGCTTATATATTACAATAACTGGAATTTGAATATGATTTCATCCTCTCCTTTGTAAGTCTTTTGTGGATTGCAATAATTTTAGTGATCTTTCTTAGATGTCTTCCATTTCCTGTTTTTCTCATGTAATGCTTTTGGCTTTAGTGGTTATATTTGGATTTATTAATGGTATCAAAATATGCACATTCTCTAGCCAGCTTCCATTGAAGATTAGGCAAGCATTGGGTTGTGGACAAGGATACATATAGACCAAATGAATATTGTTTTAAAAAAGTGAATATACATGGAGAATCTTGTTCAGCGATCTTGCCCCCATCTGATTCTTACAATGGATCTATGATTGTGGAGGGGAGTTGTGCTTCAGCACAGTAAAGAAGATGAAGGCTAGACTGGCAAACAGTACACACATTGCAGACAATTTCAGTATGTCTGTTTCCATCCTTCCATGATCCAAGCTTCTTAACAATGCCAATTTATCCCAAACATACGAACCGTCTGGAAACCTTGGGCAACCACAATTTGCTGCACACTCCTTTGTATTGCAGTAGAAACTGATAGAGGTCATCATATTCATTGTTAATTGGAATGGATTGCTCCAATACACCCATCGGTAGAACCTGATGTCGGATAGGACAACAACTACACCAGAAGCTGACACCCACATTGATGTCACAATTGACACTGCAAATGCGGCTAGTGTTGGCAGCGGTGCTAGGAAAGTTATCATCATCCCGAAATATGTTACACACAAAGTAAAAATGAAGAGCACTAACCAATACTGTAGGAATTCTGCCATGGATCCTGTTCCAATTCCTGCCATACCATTCCCTATCCCTACAACTGCAAGTGTAGCAATGAAAATGTATGGGATCTCACCAACTGCCCATGATACCGGGTAAAATACTGGAAGATACATTCCAGCCCTTTTCTCCCGGAAATAGACTAACCTGTCTGTGCCAATCTGGGGAATAACATTGTTAGCTGAGATCACTCCGATGAGTAAAACTTGCATGTATATGTATAGCATACGTGAAGTTGCACCATATGTGTCCTTGTATTCAATTTGATAGTACAAGGATCCCATCAAGAGTCCAATCATTATGCAGCCTATAAGTCTACCATATGTGTACTGCACGTTCCTCCACAAGAATCTCTGTGTTCTTAACAAAACCCAAATGGCTTGCTGTGAATATGGAGCTGAGTAAGTAGAAAATTGATCCTCTGATGCTCTTTCCTTTATCAATTTCTTTGCATTGCTGATTGTTTTGCTGTTGATCTCCTGCAAAAAACTAGTTTGATATATCTCTGCGTAATTTATTTGCGGAGTTTGTCCCTTTCGTATACCTAAGCCAAGAGCTCTCATAACAAAGTTAACTGGAGTTGCATTTTCAGCGTAACGAGGGGCCTTCGGGATTGATGTGAAATACTCCAGCAACTCATTGCAGTTATATCCTACCTGGCCAAAATATGCTTGATGCCCTTCTTCTGTTAAGATGAGAGCCAGGTCGAAAGAGGACAGTATCCGTCCATTAGCATGTGTAAGAGAGGCGATAATGACTCGACCAGAACGGGACACTTTAGATAGAACATTGAGGACAGTTGAAGTTCCTGTGGTATCAAGGCCCGATATTGGCTCTTCTAGAAAGATAATGCTTGGATTTGCAGCCATCTCAACTGCAATTGTTAACTTTTTGGCTATTTCAAATGTCTTTCCAGTGGAGTCGCAGAGGGAACCTACAAGTTGGTTCGAATACGGAAGTAAACCAAGCTGGCTGAGGACCAGCTCAACATGGATGTTACGCACCATGGAGCCAACTTCTTTTCCTAGACGGAGTGCAGCGCTGAATTGAAGAGATTCACGTATAGAGAGGTAAGGTTGATGGGCATCAAGCTTCTCAACA